CTCCGGGGGGGGGGGGAGCATGACGGGCAGTTTCCGACGATGACGTGAAAGACACAATAGTAGGTTGTAGATGAAGCTAGGGGTACGTGCAGCCCTTTCCAACAACAGGTCGGCGGGACCGTCGCGCGGGCGGCCCCGCGGGCCCCGGGGCTGCCGTCATGTCAAGGTTGAAACCTGGTATTCCATCCACAGGTTCTCCCTTGACATGACGGCAGCGAGAAAATGCTTCGAAAGGCGATGATCTGTGCGGGTTTGTGTGATTTGCATGCTACTGTATGCGTATGCGTGTGGTTTCTGGGTATGGCCTCTATTGCTCTCCGTTTTTTTCTTGGCGTTGTGCGCCGTTTGGCATCTGTGTGCGGTGGAATTGTGGGTGTTGGCTCCTCTGTTGTGCGTGTGTTGATTTCTGAGAGGTGCGCTGTTTGTCCTCATCCTGTCTGCACTGCTTGATCTTGATCTTGATCTTGCCCTATCAAACCTTTTCGGGCGTGAAATCTGTCGTCGGCCACTACCTTGTTGTTCATGTTCATGATGAAGATGTTGCTGTTGTCGACGTTTGTTGTTGTGCTGCTGTCGTCGACGCCGTTCGTTTCTTCTCCAGGTATACAACGAGGGTGACATGATCTGGGTGCACGGCTTCCACCTGCTCCTGCTGCCGTCTTTCCTGACGAGGGTGTTGAGGACAGCCAGGGTGGGTCTGTTCCTACACACACCCTTCCCGTCCTCCGAGATCTTCAGGACCTTGCCCTTCCGAGAGGACTTGCTGAGGGGCATGCTTAACGCTGATCAGGTATGCTAAACCGCAAGTTCGGCTGAACGGAATCATCGATCACTCATCGTTCTTTGGGTTGTTCCGGCTGAGGTCTTGTTGCGTGGTACTCCAGACGTATGCATATCTATGCATAGCTTGTAACAGGGTTTTGGAGGTGGCTGTAGCACCACCTATACGACAAGGACTGCCTGCCCAAAAGACACCACAGACAAAACATGTGCTTCTCTTCTGCGTTTTTGTAGCCCCACACTCGTCGTACGCGTGCTGCTTGCTGGGTCGCGTGCCACTATTTCTTGATGGCGGCACGCGTGCCACTGTTACTCCTGATCACGCCCTGCAAGATCTACTGCTGTAACGCTGTTGTGTTGCTGATGTCTTGTGTCGTGTCCCGCGTGTGCCACGAACGCTTGCTCTTGTTACCGGGGGCTCCGCTGAATGTGCTGGCCGTGCCTGGCCGTGCCTCTGGTGGGGGGGGGGGGACGGACGATGGGGCGAACGACACACAGATCGGGTTCCACCTGTTCGAGTACGCTAGACATTTCATCACGTGCTGCAAGAGAATACTGGGGCTGAACGAGGGGGATAGCACCAACCGAGGTGTGTAATCTTCCGCTTGTTGCTGATAACGGCTCGCTCGCATCCAAGCCCAGGACATACATGAAGCCGTTTCATTCAGACCGCGTGCTTTTTACGGCTAAATGCGCGGTGGGGAGAACTGGTTGCCGATTCTGTCAGGACTAGTTAATGAATAACCGGGAACCTTTGGGTGATCGCGCTTCGTGCTGGCGCAGCAACAGCACTATAATAGCCTACGCACATTTTTTGTGGCAAGCAAAGTGGATAAAGTGTGAATTCGGTGGAATTTCGGGGGTATGGGGTGTGTGCGTATCCTCGATTCCATAGGCAAAGTGCGTATGTGTACATTTGTAGGTGGGGAACTTGGGAGCCAAGCCACGACCATTGCCCGATGTTGACTGGACGAGGTGGTACACACGCGGTCGGTAGCTAGCAATGCAGGCATTTGTTGTATCTCGTTCTAGGAAAGACTTGTGTTTTTTCTTCTTTCTTCTTCCCTCTGTAGGTGGGCCATTTTCGTTGCTGTTTTCTTCTTATGGCAACAAACTTGCGGTGTGACTTGTCTCCATTGCCACGACCTCAGAGACAGAATTATAGTGACATTGCGCTACGCATACGATAGGTAACAAAGGGGTTTGCGCAAACAGATTGCTCGCGGCACCTGTTTCTTATTTGCAATCTGCATATCCTTGTCGAGATGCTAGCATCCCTTCCCGCCATCCCTGTCGAAAGTTCCCCCACGCCCCCCACAACTTTCCTTCTCTTGTGGATGGTTGAATTCTCAAAAACAACAAACAAAAAACTTCCCTTAGGCAACCGGAACGTGTACTACAATGGGAGATGCGTGTCCATCGAGTCCATCCACGGGGGAATCGAGCCCTCGATCATCGCGGCCAAGCTGGGGCACACGGACATTGCCGGCCGCGTGGCTGCGCTTAGGAAGGAATACGACGGCCGCTATGTCTTCTTAGGCATCGACAAGGTATGTTTAACTCCTACGTTTGCTCTTGGCTGGTTTTTTGCCTAGCGCGTCTTTTGGCTCTTGTTGCTGTCGGTGTTGTCGTTGTTGCTGTTGTTGTGTGGTGGTAATGTGTGACATGAGAACTTTAACCCTAACCGTGAGAAAACAGAAGCAAGAAAGGTTTCGCATATGCATGGGGTCTGTTATCTGTTGTTGGGGTCTTGGAATGGTCAATGCCGTGCCTCTGATGACGACCGAATTGTTGGCTTGCTGGTCGGTTGACGAAAGGAGCGAGTCTGTGCTAAAGTTGCGTTTGGACTATTTAATAGTGTTCGACTCACCTCTCTCACCTAGAAGGATGCTACGGTTCTGTACCAATACACTCGTGCCCAACACATATACGCCGTGGAGTCAGGTCATGCCTGTAGTTTATCGGCGCACAGCAGTGGCGTTTGTTTTGAGATTGGGAGGCTTGTTTGCCCTCAAGGGTTAGCTCTGCCTCCGTGTGTGTGCGTCTCTCTCTCTCTCTCTGTGTCTCTCTCTCTCTCTCTCTCTCTCTCTCTTTCTCTCTCTCTCTCGTCCTCTCTCGTCCTCTCTGTCTCTCTGTCTCTCTGTTACACATTCACACAAACGGTTAGCGCGGTCGATGCTAACGAAGACAACCCGAATACGGCTTGCGTCCGTCCCGGCCTCTCGTTGTTTCCCGTTCGCGTTCACAAGGTGGAGCGACTCAAGGGCTTACAGCTCAAGTTTACGGCGTTCTACAAGCTCTTGCTGGAGTACCCCCACCTCGCCGACACCATCGTGCTGCTGCAGCTCGGCATCTCCGTCAGCGAGCGCGAGCAGGACTACCACAAGTGCTTCTCGGAGCTCAGTACCCTCGCAAAGAAGATCAACTCCGAGTTCGCCCCGAGCCCTGATCGGCCCGTGCTTGTTCTAGAGGTGCAGTGCTGGGGGGGGGGTCGGTTTGAAGGGAAGGATATGGTGTAGGCGAGGTGATGATCGAGCAACACAGTAACACGCACAACTACGCACTGCTGTATTCGTCAGGTCTTGTTGTGGTACTCTGTATTGTGTTGCCTCGTTTTTCGATGTCTGCCGTCCGCGTGTTGTCGTTGGTGGCACCTACTGTATTTCTAGACGTTTCTGTGGTCGTTTTTTCCCTCTCAGTGGTCTCCCCGCCCCCACCCCTCACTCAGCACCTGCCTACGTTTTAAAAAATACTTCGAAGTACCAAACACACGGAAATGCATGATGGTGATGACCAGCTTCTGGTTCATCTTTGTGCAAACGTAGCCTGGGCCGGCAAAAACCCGGCCACCATATCGCTCCGTCCCGGCGTTGCAGGGGTGCGACGCCAATGATGTATCGACTACGGCATCATGAGTAACCCCCCCCCCCCTCGGTCTTCCATTTGTTTTCCTACACAGCTGGAGGACGAGAACAGCTTCACGCTGAATCGGCGGATCCCCTACCTCTGCCTGGCAGACTGCCTCCTCAACACCTCCGTCAGGGACGGGCTGAACAGCCTCCCTTTGGAGTACGTGCAGGTGCAGGGGGCCACGAGAGTCGACAACCCGGGCGTGTTGATGCTGAGCGAGTTTACGTCCGCCATGAGGGTCATGCGCGGCGCCATCCGCATCAACCCCTGGAAGGTATGTTGTTGTTGTTGTTGTTGTTGTTGGTGTTTGCTGTTGTGGTTACTGTCGCTGTCGATGTCGTTGTCGTCGTTGCTATGCCCCTGTTGTTGTTGTCGGTGTCGTCTTTTGACATATTTGTCACTGTCGCTAGTGTCGGCTGTGCGTGCTGTCGTCGATGTCGTCGTCATCGTAGCCTTTGCTCTCCCTTTGAAAAATATTTCTGACCGCCACCATCGCCATCTCACATGGCACTAAAAACAAGTGAATTAAGTGAATGTCACGTCACCTCTCTGAAGCCGTTGTGTGTGTTGCCTCACTACCCTCCCCTTCCTGATGTCTCAGGTGGAAGAAGTCGCCCACGTTATGGCGGAGGTGGTCCAAGTGATGACGGTGAAGAGGAGGAAGGAGAGGCTGTCGGAGTGCCTCGAGTACGTCAACACCAACACCACCTCCTACTGGGCGGCCCAGATCCTCATGGACCTCAAGGCCGTGGGCAGTTCATCGAACAGGAGCATCATGTCTCCGGTCGGTCTTGGCCTCAACTTCAGGGTGGTCGGTGAGAGTAACGAGTAACAGCGCGCGGGGTGTACGCATGCATAAACGTAGACGTGAGAACGTTGACGTCACGTCCTTGCACTGCCTGGACGGACCGATGTGCCGGATTTTCGCCGGCCAAGGCCATGTTTCACTGTTGAGCAACTACCGCTGTGGGTATCTAGCCACAGAGAAGGTGGAATGAGGACCAAAGTTTGGTTGGTGGTGACGTTGGTGGTGGGATTTCGTTCCTCATGCTGGTCATGTACCTGGCGAACTGGCTCAGGAGTGTGTGTGTGCCTGAAAGGAAGGCCGCTGTTGGACGATGGCGGTGGTCTTTGAACGTTCTTTGTCCCTCGGCCTGATTGCGTCTTTTGTCTCGGGCGACGGATCCCTGCAGCGTCCGACGGAGATAACCTTGTACTGCGCGTGGCACTGCTGTCAAACATGCCTCCTCTGCTTGTTCCCCCCCGAGGAAAGGAGTCGACCCAATCTTGGTCTTGTAACCCGTTCTTGTTCTTGGATGATTTGATAATTATCTTCATTGTCTCAGGGATGGAGTCGAACTTTAGCCTGCTGGACGTAGCCGCGTTGATGCGTGGTTACCGCTCGGCGAAGAGGCGAGTCATCTTCCTGGACTACGGCGGAACGATCTGCACCACTCCCAAGAGGAGCATCGCGTACTACGCTCACGCCAACAAGGTCTGTGTGTGTGTGTGTTTTTTTTTTTTTTACTATATTAGCATCGACCACGATACTGTAACCGGCTGACCAATGAACAGACGTCAGTCTCAGTGTGGGTGAAAACAAAGAACACTTCTAATTGCCATTAATTGGGACCCCGTGAGGGCGTTGTGTGTGTTTTTGTTGTTGGCATCGACCGCGCTAACCGGCTGACCAATGAAAAGATGTCAGTCTCAGTGATGGTGAAAACCAACAACACTTCTAAATGCCATTAACTGGGAACCCGTGAGGGGGCGGCATGGGGGAGACTATCCTATTCTCCGGATCTCTCTGTGTGTGTGGGTGTGGGTGTTTTTTTTTTATTGTTAGCATCGACCGCGCTAACCGGCTGACCAATGAAAAGACGTCAGTCTTAGTGCGGTTAAAAACTGTGTGTGTTTGTCCCATTTATTCTGGCGCCAGCTCACACCTCTCTCTCGGTGTACTGTATACGCTTGACGTATAAGACGGAGTCACACAGGAGGAAGGTCACACAGCAGTGTTTTTTCGCATGTAGCCAAACCATTTTCCGTACGATTTACAACAGCAGCTCAACGGATCTCGACGGCACGTAGATGATGACGACTGACTCCGGAACGGTTGCCAAGAACACGGGGTTTCGCAGAACTTGCTGCCGGTGGAGGTCGCCAACCGCCTGCCCAAGAAACCTCGTGATCTGAGCGATCTTGACGTGGAGGTTATTAACTACGTGCCATCGGTAGAATAGATAGATTGGGGAAGGCATTTTTGAGCCACTTTTGGCAAAGTAGGAAGGAACGATTGGCCATCGGTGATCGGTCCTGTGGGAACAAGGCTCCGTCCTCTCGAGGACGCGTGGTCAAGGTCTAACCGCTAAGGCATGCAAAACAGAAGAGTACGCCCCCCCCCCCCCACACGCACACCCCCCAAACCATCCATGTCCCGACCCTTTACCCACCGGATGTTCTCCATTGTACTGTGAGGATTACTATCCTGCAGCTACAG